TGTCAGGCAGAAGATACAGAAGCTTGAACACATGCACCAACAGGTTCAAGAACAGAGATAGTAGGAACTGCAGATGATGGAGAATCTGAGATAACAAGGTGTAGAGCTGGATGAACACAGCAGGCCAAGCAGCATCAGAGGAGCAGGAAGGCTGACGTTTTGGGCCTAGACCCCTCCCTAAATCCCCACCTACACTCACCTTTACTGGCTCCACCCCCCTCTCTGACCTGTCTGTCTCCTCTCCACCTATCTTCTCCTTTATCCATCTTCTATCTGCCTCCCCCTCTCTCCCTGTTTATTTCAGAATCTCCTTCCCCTCCCCCATTTCTGAAGAAGGGTCTAGACCCGAAACGTCAGCCTTCCTGCTCCTCTGATGCTGCTTGGCCTGCTGTATTCATCCAGCTCTACACCTTGTTATCTCAGGTTCAAGAACAGCTTCTTCCCTGCCATTATCAGACTGATGAATGATCTCTCTAACTTCAAATACTGTTGATCTTGCTTTGCACATCTGCTGTGTAACCTGTATGCCTCACTCTGTATAAGCACCGATGATCTGTATGTCCTTGTTTGCTATGATTTGCCTGTACTGCTTGCAAAACAAAGCCTTTCACTGTACTTAGGTACATGTGACTATAATAAATCAAATCAAATGTTATGTTTTGGTTCACTTTCCCAATTAATTCCTTCAAACCCTCCCACATTTGTAGTAGTTACTCATCTGATACTTTGCATGTCAGTACTTTAACTTTGGTTTCAGCTTTTAATACCATATTGAGTTTAAATAAACTAAAAATAAAGTATTCACACATTTACCAGTAACAAATAAGGTCTAGTAGATCACTGAATACTAAATTTAATAGTAGTATCTGCCTTACACTCTGCTTCATACATCATACTAAGCAGATGCCATTCTACATCTTATGAAACTGATCGCATTTTTTCCACTCCCTTTTGATTGTTTCTGGTTTGTCAACTTTATCTTTGGAGTAAAATTCTTTTGTGATGTTTGCCTCGGGCTTTCTTGATGAGGGAATGCTAGGAGTTACAAATTAACTATGTTGTAGCCCTCCTAATTGCCAACATCTACCTTGATTGCTTCTGGCATTTCTTCCTTTGCTATGATTCTTTCCAGTAGTAATAACATTTCCCTTCAGCAAATGTTCTTCTTTTGGTTTTGGCAGAACATGCATCTCAGAAATTGGGAAGATCAGAGACTGAGGGGTGACCTTAAAGAGGTTTAAAAATCATGACAGGCATGGGTAGGGTGAATAGCCAAGATCTTTTTCCTACGGCAGGGGAGTCCAAAACTAGAGGGCATTGGTTTAAGGTGAGAATGGAAATATTTTAGAAAGACCCAAGGATAACTTTTTTACGCAGAGGGTGGTGCATGTGTGGAATGAATTGCAAAAGGAAGTGGTGGAGGCGAGTACAATTCTAGCATTTAAAAGGCATCTGGATGGGTATATGAATAGAAAGGTTTAGAGGGATATGGGCCAAATGCTGACAAGTGGGACTAAGTCAGATTAGGATGTCTGGTTGGCGTCTCAAAATTAGGGGAGGCATGGTGTCATAAATATTCCTTAACTAAACCTGTCAACTCTTGAAAAGTTTTAGTATCTGGTGCCTCAGGGAAAGTTAGGTTCCTAATAACCCAAAAAGCTGCAGGTTCACAACTGCCAATGTAATACTCTTATTCAAAATGGGAGACAAAATGTGGGTAAGTATAAACCAATTAGATTAACATCTGTCATTGGGAAAATGTGAAGAGTCTACTATAAAGGATGTAATTAGCAATGGAGTAAAAGGTTCCCCTGTTGAGACAGAGCTGAGCAGGGTATTTTTCTCTCAAGGGGTAGTGAATCTGGAATTCTTTAAGGTAGAGAGCAGTGGAGGCTGGGTCATTAAATATATTCAAAGCTGAAATGAACAGATTTGTAATCTATCAGGGAATCAAGGGTTATGGAAATTTAGGCTGGAAAGTGGAGTTCAGTATTATCAGATCAGCTATTGGATCAATGGCTGTTTCCTTTGATGAAAAGGCACTGATCTGAAATGTTAACTCTATTCCTCTTGCTACAGGTGCTGCTGACTGGCTGATCATTTTCAACATTTTCTGTTTTTAGTTCAGATTTCCATCCTTCAAATTATTTTGCTTGGATTTTAGGGGAGTATGTTGATTGGTTGGCAACCATTAGTCATACTGATAACACAACATTAGTATGACATAATTTCATGTCACGTTTTGATAAAGGATCTTTGTCCTAATGTTAACTCCTCTCTAATAAACGTTGTCAGACCTGCTGAGTATCCCATTATCCCCCTCCACCCGAACATCAATGAATATTGCTCATGCCTGGACATCGAACAGTTGTTGTGCTGCCTCCACGCTTACTTCTTTAAACTCGAACCTAACCACCCCTCTACTGACCCCTTCTCCCACCTCCAACACACCCCTTCCTCCTGGACACCACCCCAAAGCCTCCTACCCTCCTCGACCTCTTCATCTCCAACTGCCATCTAAATATCAATCGCCTCAACCTCTCCACTCCTCTCACCCACTCCAACCTCTCCCCCACAGAATGTGCAGCCCTCTGCTCCAACCCTAACCTCACTATAAAACCCGCAGACAAAGGAGGCGCAGTTGTGGTATGACGCACTGACCTCTACATCGCCGAGGCCAGGCGCCAACTCCCTGACACCTCCTCCTACCGTCCTCTTGATCATGGCCCCACCTCTGACCACCAAAACATCATCTCCCAGACCATTCGTAACCTCATCACCTCAGGTGACCATCCACCCACAGTCTCCAATCCCATTGTTCCCCAACCCCGCACCGCCCGTTTCTATTTCCTTCCCAAAATCCATAAACCCAACTGCTCTGGTCGACCCATTGTCTCTGCCTGCTCCTGCCCCACTGAACTTATCTCCACTTATCTCAACTCCATTTTCTCCCTGCTGATCCAGGAACTCCCCGCCTATGTCCGTGACACCACCCACGCCCTCCACCTCCTCCAAAATTTCCGATTCCCTGGTCCTCAACACCTCATCTTGACCATGGACGTCCAGTCCCTATATACTTGCATTCCCCATGCAGATGGCTTAAAAGACCTCTGCTTCTTCCTCTCCCGCAGGCCTGACCAGTCCCCCTCCACCGACACCCTTATCCGCTTAACCAAACTCGTCCTTACCCATAACAACTTCTCCTTCAACTCCTCCCACTTCGTACAGACAAAGGGGGTGGCCATGGGTACCCACATGGGCCCAAGCTATGCCTGCCTCTTTGTAGGATACGTGGAACAATCCCTCTTCCGCAGCTACACTGGCCCCATTCCCCACCTCTTCCTTGTTGTATCGATGACTGTATCGGCGATGCCTTGTGCTCCCACGAGGAGCTCGACCAGTTCATCCACTTTACTAACATCTTCCACCCCAACCTGAAGTTCACCTGGACCATCTCTGATACCTCTCTCTCCTTCCTGGACCTCTCTGTCTCCATCTCTGGTAACAATCTGGAAACTGATACCTATTTCAAGCCCACCGACTCCCACAGCTACCTAGAATACACCTCCTCTCACCCACCTTCCTGCAAGAATGCCATCCCCTATTCCCAATTCCTTTGCCTCCGCCGCATCTGCTCCCAAGATGAGGCATTCCACTCCCAGACATCCCAGATGTCCTCATTTTTCAAGGACCACAATTTCTCCTCCACAGTGGTCGAAAACACCCTCGACCACATCTCTCGCTTTTCCTGCACCTCAGCCCTCACACCCCCTCCCCACAATAACAACAAAGACAGAATTGCCCTTGTCCTCATGTACAACCCCATCAACCTCCGGATTCAACGCATCATTCTCCGACACTTCCGCCATCTGCAATCCGACCCCACTACCAAGGATATATTTCCCTCCCCACCCTTATCTGCCTTCCGGAGAGATCGTTCTCTCCTTGACTCACTCGTCCGCTCCACACTCCCCACTAGCCCCACCACTCCCGGCACTTTTCCCTGCAACCACAGGAAGTGCTATACCTGCCCCTACACCTCCCCCCTCACCCCCCATCCCAGGCCCCAAGAAAACCTTCCACATTAAACAGATATTCACCTGCACATCTGCTAATGTGGTATATTGTATCCTCTTTTCCCAATGTGGCCTCCTCTCCATCACAGAAACCAAGCGGAGGCTTGACAAACGACAGCACCTCCCAGTCGTGAACCACTTCAACTTCCCCTCCCACTCCTTGGACGACATGCCCATCCTGGGCCTCGTCCAGTGCCACAACGATGCCACCCGAAGGCTGGAGGAACAGCACCTCATATTTTGCTTGGGAATGCTGCAGCCCAATGGTCTCAATGTGGACTTCACAAGCTTCAAAATCTCCCCTCCCCAAACTGCATCCCAAGACCAGCCCATCTCCTTGACCTGTCCATCTTTTCTCCCACCTATCTGCTCCTCCCACCTCACTGACCAACCCCCCAGCCCCACATCCTACCTACTAGCTTCATTCCCTCCTCCTCGACCTGTCCGTCTTCCCTCCCACCTACCCGCCCTCCCTCCTCACTGACCAACCCCCATCGCAACTCCCTACCTACAGTCACCTTTACTGGCTTCACCCCGCCTCCTTGACCTGTCCGTCTTCTCTCCACCTATCTGCTCCTCTGTCCACCTTCTATCGTCGCCTACCCCGTTCTCTTTATTTCAGAGCCCCCTTCCCCTCCCCCATTACCGAAGAAGGGTCTACGCCCGAAACGTCAGCTTTCCTGCTCCTCTGATGCTGCCTGGCCTGCTGTGTTCATCTAGCTCCACACTGTGTTATCTCTGACTCCAGCATCGGTAATTCCTACGATCTCTGAGTATCCACAGACTTTGGATTTGTAGCTCTTTATGTCATTTATCAAGCTGAATAGCAACCGTATAATTGTGTTATTGAGGGAGGGCGGGGTTTTCAGGCTATATCCCTAGTGACACATGATCCATGTAACCAATCCCTGCACCGTGTGCAAATTTGTCTATAATAATTCCGATTATGTGTGTTCACTTCAGTTATACTCACCAACGATTAAAGCTCACCTGTCGGCTAAAGGATATCTGAGTTAATTCAAATATAATCTGCAAACAGTAAATTACTCGCTGCGAAAAACTATTATTAGTTTGAAGTTTGTCTGTTAGAAACCAAGAAGCAAGATGTTGCCCGGAAAGGGAATGATTCTTTTAAACCGCGGTGTCAGTATGATCTGTAGAAGATTTAACCACAAAATCGGAATCCTTGGAGCACCGTTATCAAGGGGACAGGTATGCTGTGCGAATGCGCTAGTTAGGGTTCGGAAAAACCGTATTTTTTAAAAGGCTCTTTTATTTTCTATTTTACTGTAAGCTCCTTATGCATGTCTATAGGGAAAGGAGGGCGTAAAAACGGGACCAGACGCTTTAAGAAGATCCGGGCTGCTGACTGCGCTTCAGGCTGGAGGTAATAATTCGGAGAGTCATTAGAACGTAAATATTGAAATCATTTCCAAAAAGGTCAACAAGTTATGATCGGAAACTTTTCCATTTTCATTTTGTGCTGGGAATATATATGTTTGCGCGTACACAATCTTTGCGATCGATCCACCGTACCTACAAACAGGGGAGGGTTGAAATCTTGTACTCACATTATAAAGAAAAGTCACAAGTTAAAATTACTGAAAGCCTTTTTATTCACTTTTTTAACGAGCAGTTCCTGAATCAAATAGGCATTATCTCTTCAAATTGAAAACAAAGCAAAAATGAAACTTTTAAACTGGCGGTGAATAGATATGTTAGATGATTCTGGACAACTCAAAAAAAAAGGGTAGTGACCTTTCAGAGTCACTAAAAGTTAAAGGTAATCGGTTTTTAAAATAAGCACAGTGGTAAAGAGGAGAGGAAGGAATGAAAAAGTTGGCCTCTGGTAAAGTGGAAGGCAGGGGAGATTAAGTAACAAAATGGATGATAGTGCACGGCGAACAGGATAAGAAAGCAAATCTTGTTCTAAAGGAGGTGTAAATGGCAATCATTATTAACAGCTGCTGTCTGGAATGATGGCATTTATGACCTGAAATTGTTGAACTCCGTGTGGCTTGTGGAAGTGTCAAATCGAAAGGACGTCACTGGCTAGGCCAGCATTTATTGCCTATCCTAATTGCTCTTCAGAAGGTGGTGGTATGCTGCCTTCTTGAATCGTTGCATTCCACACTGACTCTCCCCGAAAGGTGTGCCAAAGGATTGTTACCCAAAGCAACGGTGATATAGTTCAGAATGGCGTGTGGCTTGGATTTGCAGGTGATAGTGATGTATCTGCTGCCATTGTCCTTTGACATCATAGAATCCCTACAGTGCAGAAGCATGCCATTCGACCCATCGAGTCCGTCGACTTCCGAAGAGCATCCTACCTCCTACATTATCCCTGTCACCCTACATTTCCCACGGCTAATGCACCGAACCTGCACATCTGTGGACTAATCACAGAGCCACCTTGCCGCCAATGCCAAGATGGTGGTGGCAGTGGGTACGGAAGGTGCTGTTGAAGGGGGCTTGGGTAAATTCACTTTCAAATTTGCTTGAAATTAGGCTGTTAATTGGGATTGAATGTAAATTTTTGGCTAACTCCAGTGATAAAACTGAACATTTGAGCTTTGAGCAGGTGATAAATTGTAAAGGTCCAGAAAAGGCCAAGTTATTTTGCCTAGCTATTATAAAGACTATAATAGAAGGTGTCCTGTTGTTAGATGTTACGACTGAAATGTCACATGAGCCGGAAATACCGTGTTAGGACCAGATATTTGGAAGGTTGTCTGTTATTTTTCCCACCTGTGGCACAGGATTTTGATCAGTGTTCGCATTCCAACTAGTCAATCCAGCACAGAACATTTAACTTGTGACTTTACCGGTTTCTAAAATCTGTTCACAACACCTATAGATGCACTTTACTGAGAACACGAAGGGCTTTTATAGATTATTTACTGATTCCTAAAATTGTACTTGATTGAGTAAGTTTGCATTTATCTTGCCCACCACCCACAATTTCCTTCCATTTTTACATTTCAAGGTTGTGACCTGAAGGACTATGGTAATTTGACATTTGAAGATGAGCCGAAAGATGAACCATTCGGAACTGTCAAAATGCCAAGGACCGTGGGGAAAGCAAACGCAAAATTATTTCAAGCTGTAAACAAAGTAAAAGCAGATGGCCGGCTCTGTGTCATTCTTGGGGGCGATCATAGGTATTTCCTTTTCCTTTTGTTCAATTTATTAACTTCAAAGGCATCTACAAGGATGTTATCTAAAATGTTCATCAACTGGCATGGTGGCTCAGTGCTTAGCACTGCTGCCTCACAGTGCCATGTACTTGGGTTTGATTCCACCCTCGGTTGACTGTCTGTGTGGACTTTGCACAATTTCCCCATGTCTGTGTGGGTTTCTGCCGGGTGCTCCAGTTTCCTACCTCAGTCCAAAGATGTGTGGGTTAGGTGGATTGGCCATGCTAAATTGCCTGTAGTGCCCAGGGGTGTGTAAATTAGGTAGATTAGCTATGTGAAATGTAAGGCTACAGGGAAAGGGTAGAGGGAATGGGTCTGGGTGGGATGCTCTTTGTAGGGGCGGATTGGACTTGCTGGGCCAAATGGCCTGTTTCCACACCTGTAGGGATTCAATCATTCTTTCAGGCACTTACTGAAGATATTGGAAGATCGTTAAAATGCCCTGTATTTCCTATTTGTGTGGAAAAATGGGGAAATCAGGCAATGTTTGATTGAAGGGGGAGAGAGAGTCAGATTGAAATATCAAAAGTTCGCATGGACAAGAGTTGAATGTTAGTTAGTTTGGGGAGGTAACTGGATTTGTTGCTGAACCCTCAAGTGCATTAAGGGAGTGTGCTGACAAATTTGAATGTAATATATTCACTGGATTCTACGGCAAGCCTGTACAATTAGTTACTTGCAAAGTCAAAAGCTTAATTCTGATAATCTGTCTATTACTGCAAAGCCTTCTGACATATCAAGGCAGCAAAAACATTATTTGACCAGTTTAATATGTGGTCAGTGATGATCCAATGGTTCCAAGGCTCTGGATGTATGTGCTCTCTGGACAAGTGTGGATTTTGTATCTGCATACTACATCAGTCGTAATCACTCAACAGCAGAAGCCTTTTATGTTCATGAAGGTAGGGAGCTCATTGTGGGGTGTATCAATAGTCATATGGGTGCAGTCAACTATTACCTGAAACTGAAGTCTGCTGATTTCTGTAAGTGCACATTGGACTTATTGGAATATTAATCAGTAGCTATATAAGTAATTCTGGTATTCATACATAATGAGGTCAGAAGTCAGACAACACCAGGTTATAGTCCAACAGGTTTATTTGAAATCACAAGCTTTTGGAGCATTGCCCCTTTGTCAGGTGAAGTCACTTCAAAGCTTGATTTCAAATAAACCTTTTGACTATAAACTGGTGTCATCTGACTTCTGACCTTGTCCACCCCAGTCCAACACCAGCACTTCCACATCATACATAATGAGAGAAGGGAAAGACATGCATCTGTCAGTATTCTGGTTGAGACTAATATTCTAAAACAATGGTTTTCAGACTACTAGATTGAAGATCTTCCTTTCAAATGCATTAGTAATCACACAATCTTCATTTTAAATTCGAATATTACTTAATATGAAAGCACTAATGTGAAGTATTTTGAAATTGCTTCTAAGAAAATATGTATCTATTTGCAGACATCAATGAGATGGGTATGCCTGCTTCTCCTTGCACAGAAATATTTAAACATTTAGTTTTAAAAAAAACTCCCTTTTTCTTGAACAAGGTTAACTCACCAGGCATCCACCACCAGACTTGTTAATGGGTCTACGAAGGGATCTTCATGCCACTCTCTCAGCACTCCCTTCCATGTGAAACAACAAAGTGCATTCAGCACTGCACATGACAACTCTGCTGCTGCCTTTTGGCCTTTCTCCTCTGACACTCGGTTATTTTGTGAACTTAGTGGGATGTCTGTACGAAGTCTGAGGACCACTGGTATGTGCAAGGCAATCAATCCTTAATTTTACCCCAGATCCCCCATAATTATGCTGGTAAATCATGTTGACACTTCTGTAAAAACATCTTTACTGACGTATTGCCCAGAACTGAAAGCACTGCTTCAAATGGGCTCTGAACAGAACAAAGTTATTTGACCCAGCATTAAACTAATAGGGAGTTTAAAAGTGTAACCCATCGTTCCAGAATTTGACAGTCACTAAAAGAGATGATGAATGGTCTCCCACTGAGTGCCAATGTTTTGTTGAGTGTGGGTTGAGGGAGTGAGATGGCTACACACTTCTTTGATGGTAAGCCGGCACTGGGTATCTCAGCATTATAGGGATGGTAGGTGCTAAAGATCTGTACATATTAGCTGTTTGCAGACCCCAAATGAATCAGATGCACTCTTGCTAACCCTAAAAATACAAGTGGACTATTGGTCAATTGAATTAATTTGTTTTCAATTTGTTTAATTTTCTCTATTACTAAGTTGATCTTATTTTTATCAACACCACACTTATTCCAAAAGCAACTTATATAGCACCTCTAACATGTTAAAACTTTGTTTCATTGTAATAACATATTGCCCATTCTAAATCCCTGAATCTCAAAAAGGTAAACAGCCTTAGAATTCAAGACAGAAAATATTGTTGTATTCCCTCGTCAAAACTGTACAGACTCCACCCTACCCATGCAATTCCTATCTACAATGGGACCTTTTATTTTAGTTCTCAGCACCGTCTTATTGTGGAATGTCAATTCTCTGTTTTACTACACAGATATATGTATCCTAATAATTATTATGGATCTAGGTCTATGTATTTTCCCAACAATCTTCATGTGTATGGCCTCACTAAGATCTCATCAGTGACATCTGCTAACAGAAATATTTAAAAGATGGGTGGTGCAAATTGTTCACTGTGTAATGCTTTGTCAAAGTAACAACAGCACTGGGATGGCAGCAGAATGACCTACTAATCTACACACCTCGACTAATGCTTTACAAGCAAATGTTCAAATCCCACTACATCTGCTTGGTGAGATTAAATTCAGTTAATTAATAAAACTGGAATAAATTACAAGATCCACTGAAAATAATTGTGGTTTGTCATCAAAACTGACTTGCTTCACCAATGTCTTTCAGGGAGGAAATTGCCATTCTTACTCCATCTAGTCTACACAAGACTCTAGGCCCATAGTAACATGGTAGACTCCTGGTTGCATTCTGAAATGGTTAAACAAGCCAGTCAATTCAAGAGCAACTAATGCTGCCCTTTTTAGTACTATTCAATCCCAAAAACAACTTAAAACAAAATGACCAGAAATTGTTTGATAGATATGAAACACAAGAGAACCAATAATTTTTAATAGACTGATAGTATTAAAATTATGATTGACAATATCTCTATGAATTAGATTGGTGCTACTTGTCAATTGCATCGTACAATGGATTTGTCCGACTTACGATTTGCCAGAGAACAGTCTGTAAAATGTTTTCTTACCATGGAGTCTCGTGAAGTAAAGAAACTAAAAATCCATCTTTAAAACATAGAGACTTCACATTACAAAAGAAGCAATTTGGAATATGCTTAAGATGTAATCCTGACATAATATAAAAAGCACTTTCTCATTACAGTTTAGCAATCGGATCGATTTCTGGGGATGCATCATGTCACTCAAACCTGTGTGTGGTGTGGGTAGATGCCCATGCTGACATAAACACTCCTAACACAACACCATCAGGTAATCTGCATGGCCAACCATTGTCGTTTCTCCTCCAGGAACTCCAGACTGAGGTAAATGTGAAATGAGATACAAAAATTATCTACATCATTGTGTACAGATAAATTAGGCTGGATTTTCCATTTCACTGTCTGAGTAGTAATCTGGCAGAGTGACTACTACCTTTAAGCCATTTTAGTCACAGCATTAATTTTGAAAATGCCTTAAACACAACACAGGTAAATATGCTATATGCGTAATCTGACTTAAATGTCATATACACTAATTCAAGTGAAATGTAGTATTTCGTTCCTTTTTACTAAATTTTGAAAGTCTAGGATGAATTTAGAAGATACAGGACATATTAGTGCAGCTTCTAGGTTTTTGTTGAACATTTACAAGCAGTATTTTGACTTCATCTGAATGATGACCAAGAATATTGACTCTGACAAAGAGTGAAACTGACTCTTACTCTCTACCCATAATACCATTGGATGCTGCTATTACTTTACCCCGATATACTACACTCCTTTTGCTACTCGTTGAGATTTCTTTTCTCTGCTGGCTGAAATGGTTATTCTAATTGTTCAATCTAACCACGATAACCGTTATAATATTGCAAATAGCAGGAAGCCATTCGGCCTATCACATCTGCATTGGCCTTTTTGAAGAACAAATAAGTTAATTCTAATTACCTGCTCTTTTTCCATATCCCTGCTTTTTTTCTCTTTTCACTTTTATCTATTCCCTCTAGAAGGTATGACTAGATCTGTGTCCACCACCGATCAAAGAATACATTCCAAATCTGAAACAAATTCTCCCCTTAGGAAGTTGCTGGTATCTCTGCTGCACTGAAGTGCTGCATTTTCATCCATGTTGCATCATCTTTTAGCAGATAATCACTAGCACTAACAAAGAAGTATTGCACAATGATCGAAACTTTCTATCATCTGACCATTTAGGGTATAAAATGTATGAAAAGGTTAAAGTACATCTGTATGTTTCAAAAGAATACTGAGATAAAAGCCCAATGATGTTTAATCTAAAAATCAAAAATACTATTTTCTGCAACTGACTTCTTGATCAGTCACTGTTGCTAATGTAGCGACCATCAGTTATAGATTTTTAAAATTTGTTCTAGGATGGACGTGGGCTGACGAAGTTGGCATTTATCGCTCATTTGACATTATATTTGAGAAGGCAGTGGTGAGCTACCTGTTCGTTTTGAACTGTTGTAGTCAGTGAAGTGAAGGTACATCCACAGTGCTATTGGGTAGACTGTTTCAGGAATTTGACCCAGAGACAATGAATGAACAGTAAATATATTTTCAAGTCAGAATGGTTGTGATGGTGTTCTTATGTCACTATTACCCTGTTCTTCTAGGTGGTTTGAGAGGTACTGTTACAGAAACATTGGCAGGTTGTTAAAATGCATCTTTAGATGGTAGGCAGTGCAGCCATTGTGTGTCTGTGATGAAGGCAGTTAATGTTAAAATGAATGAGATACCAAACAAGCAGGCTGATTTATGTAGGATACTGTTGAATTATTGAGTGCTGTTGTTGCTGCACTCGGGCAGGCAAGTGGAAAGCATTCCGTCACGCTTCTAAGTACGGCCTTGTAAAGACTTTGGAGAATCGAAGTTGATTTACTCACTAGTCCCTTATATGCTCTTGCAGCCACAGGTTTTATGCCTGATGTTTATATTTCCTTTATATTTAATGCAATAAAGATTGGTGATACTCTCATCAGATTAAAGCTGATGTGGTGAAGTTGAAAATCCATCCCATTATGTATAGAGTATATTGGAGCTGCAGCTGTTATAATCATAATTTAGACAACCTTTGTTTATTTTAATAATTTTTTTTTCTGAATAAGGGTGTGAAATAAGATGTCATTCAGCTGAATTTGCTCATTCTCTTAAATAGAGACACACTTGATTTCTGTCCTGTTTTAATACAGTTTATTTATTTTCTGTGTTACACAATTGGAATTGTTCTATTCATATATCCTACAAAGCTCTACAATCAAAAAACTGTCAAGGAGAAAAAATTCTAACAACATTTAAAGCATCTTTGTACATAGGCTGTTGTGTACCAGTCATTCAGGTTCACAAGAAATGTTATAGAGTCAGATATCCAGAGCATGGAGATAAGCCCTTTGTCCCTTTGGGACTGCTCTGTCCAAAACAACCACCTAACTACTCTAAACCCATTTTTTTTTTAGAACTTGGCTCATGCCGTTATGTGCCTTGGCATTGCAAGTTTACATCTAAATACTGCTTCGATGTTATGAGCAGTTCTGCATCTTCCACCCTTGCAGACAGTGATTCCAGATTCCCACCATCCGCTAAGTGGAAAAAAATTTGCTTCACATCCCCTCAACTCTTTAGTCATTGATCCCTCCACCAAGGAGGAAATTTCCTTCGACTGTGCCCGTTAGAAATCTGCACATCTCCTCAATCATGACCCCTTTTAGTCTTCTCCACTCCAAGGAAAACAATACCAGTCTATCCAATTTCACCTCATCACTAAAGCTCTCCAGCCCAGGCAACATCTTGGCAAATCTCCTCTACAGTTTAATCTCATTTCTCTTAATGTGAATTCCAGAACTACAATACTCTAGCTGTGACCTAACTAATACTTATATACAGTTCCAGCACTATGCCTTGACTAATAAAGGCAAGTATCCCACATGCCTTTTTAATCAGTTTATTGTTCTGTTCTGTTACTGTATGGGACCAGTGGACATGCATGCCAAGGTCTATCTGATCCTTGGTGCTTCCAAGGCTCCTACCATTCATCATGTACTTTCTTGCTTTGTTTGTCCTATCCAAGTGCATGATTTCATTTGCCATTGATTAGGCCACCTGACAAGCCTGTCATATCATCCTGTGATCTGATGCTATCCTTTTCATTATTTACCATCCCATCAATTGTCATATCATCCACAAACCTACTGATCAATCCTCTGACGCTCAAGACATAGGTTTTTTTTTACATATCACAAACAGAAAGGGCCCCAACACTGATTCCTGCAGAATCCTACTGGATACAGATTTCCAGTCACACAAACACCTCAACAATCACTGTCTGCTTCCTGCTACTCAGCTAATTCTGGATCAAAATTTGCCAAATTTCCTTGAATTCTATGGGTTCTTATCTTTATCAGTCTTCCAAATGGGATGTTATCAAGAACCTTGCTGAAGTTCAAGTAGACTCTGTCAAATGCATTGTCCTCCTCTACATGCTATTGAAATAGTGTAAATGCACAAGTGTGGCAAATGTGTGGATCCTGCTATGCTAAAGATGCAAAATAATTCTATAGAAGAATAACATCAGGCTTTCATGTGTAAATGTCTGCATTGCATATTATGGAAAGTGCTAGGCTTGACACTGAACCATTTCACGTAGAAAGGTAGAAGACAAAATTCAGTGAAATGCTAGGTTATATCAATAAAACTAAAATACTGTGAATGCAAGAAATCTGAAATAAAAACAGAAAATGCTGGAGAAACTCCGTAGGTGTGGCAGCAAATTAGAGAGATGAACAAAGTCAGTGCTTCGAGCCTTCTTCATAAATACATTACATTGTACAATATTACTGCAGGTGAAGTCTTGTAATAGAGTTCAAAGCATCCGTATCTGGGGAAGCTTGTTATCTAATCTTAATACCATGTACTTTAACGTCACCATTAACACAGAGATAAGCCTTACAATCTCCCATTATTAAAGAAAATGAATAACATAATTGGGGTAGAAATTCAAACTGATCATTTGGCACCACATGAATTTCTATCACTGTACTACAATCAAAAGGAAGTTTTGAAGTAATTATTGTCCTTTTATGAAACCATTTGTGTTTTTCTGTAATTAAACTTTAAAACTCAGAATGCAAGTTACATATTAATGCAATGCATTGGACTGTTTATTAGCTAGCTTTTTCAAGCTGTTAAAATGTGTAAAATAAAGAATTTATTTCGGCGGGGGTGGGGAAACTGTTGATCAAACTAAATTTCATGTATGTTCAGTATTAGTAAAATATGATGAATGTGTTTCATTTGATTTTGCACACTTTTTTTTGTTTTAAAATGTTAGTAAATTTAACCACTAAACATTGAGATGAATGTATTGATAAAATGAGCCAATAACTTGTGATAACAAGGTGTAGAGCTGGATGAACACAGCAGGCCAAGCAGCATCAGAGGAGCAGGAAGGCTGACGTTTCGGGTGTGTTTTTCAGAGGCTTTGGTAATGTATTATGGAAGAGAAATTGGAATGAACTCATTTAGGTCCCCATTTTAGAAGAAGTGTGACTGTGGTTGTCAGGGTGATGGTCAGTGATTTGACAGGCATGCGAACTCTGGGGATTTCTTAATCTGCTTTTTTGCGTGCACACGCAGTATGCTGGATATTAGGAACTGATCGGTTATTGTCTGTTTATAATAAAGTCCTGTGCTTAGCTCTTATGGCTGGAAATAACCCAAAATAAGTAATGATGAATTACAACTAGTGCAAAAAGATACAACTTAATTCTCATCACTACAGTAGTTAATAAAATGCATCGTAACAAATGGGGTATTCAAGGAAAAATTTCAAATTCATTATGATCTAATTTTAATTTATGCAATCCTTGCTTGGAAGTTAATTATTTATGCATTAAAAACTTTGTGGTTGCAAGTAATGGCCCCAAACACTGGCATATTTTTCATGCTGTACAGTAAACTATCTTTTTGAGCCTGGTGCTCTCTGATACTACTTCAATATTTCCTGGTTATCCCTTAGCTGATTGCCTTTATCACAAAGCAATGAATAGAATACATTCTGATTCAGTTGACAAAGCACACCTGACACACCAACAACAAATAGTTACTTTTACTTTATACTTTAATCTTAACAGAATAGCAATTTGCTACAGTAAAAGCATGCACGAATAAGCAGCATAACCTTTGTCTCAGTTAGGTTCATTAATTTCTGAACCTTGATGATGATTGATCTCACTTCACAGATTTCTTTTATTCTTATTTAAAATATAACTTTAAAATGCTTTTCCTTTACAAAACAAATGAGGAAAGTG